TTTTACAAACCATTGTTCATTAGAGAATACCTTATTTATTATATTAACTGAAAAAAGAAATGTCAACAATACAAAAGGGGTATAAATTGCAAAACCTGGCCAAAAGTACTAAATGGGAACGCATAGAAAATGATGTCAGCTAGAGAGTGATTGTCCAGCTCAGCATGATCAACTTTGGGATTTCAAACACGTGGAAGAAGATTTAGTTGGCCCCCGCACCTAATCATATATATATATACATATGTATATATATATATATATATATATAAACCTTGATTCGAATGAGATAGTTTATCACCTAACTTTAATTAAGACGGCTAATTAATCAGTTTGTGATTTGTTGAAGAGAAGTTGTGCACAATTGGTATGCAAATGCTGATGAAATAGTTAAAAACAGAGTTGGATGTTGGAACCGTATGTTGTATGGAGCATGATTTTCTCTTAGTCGGCGCCGGTATGTTTTATTTTTATTTTTTATTTTTTATTTTTGCCTTAGATTTGGAAACACATATATATGGCATTTTGTGGCTCGCTGACTAAGCCACTATCTTGAGGAATCGCCAGTCAGTCAATCCTTTTTACTTTTTATTTTTTATTTGACCATAAGAGGTAGAATAGGTTTGTGTATCAACCAATATTACGTTTTTTTTTATGTGATTTTAAAGATGTATCTTTATATTGATCTAATGTATTGTTTAAAAAAATAATAAAATGTTTAGAGTACACGTAATTTTATTGGATCCCTTATTGAAATAATGTTGCATTGTGTTCTTGCACAACAAAATGTTTATTTTATAATAAACCCTTCATATATTGATTTAATGATTTATGAATGACATAGCCACACATGGACTTGAACAATTTTTTTTTTTTTGCAAGAATTTCATTTTTTGCGTACTATCAAATTATTTTTGCCAAATAAAAAAATAAAAATTTGACATATATATATACATATATTCAAAAAATAAAAATAAATTTAGCAAAAGTTATTTGATTTGATTTTTTTTTTTTTTTTTTTTTTTGCAAAAAAAAAAATGTTATTTAAGTACACGTATTGCAATGTCATTCATCAACCATTAAATACTATCACCAACAACATATAAAAATAAACGTAGGATTGATATTAAAAAAAAAAAAAGAAAAAAGGCTATTGTGCGGAAACGCAATCGGCATTGTGTTAAGGACCCAATAAAATGTTTTCTGGTGATAAAAGACCAATTGATAATCTACAGCTCGTCAATAAAACAAGCATAACCATTAGATAAACCTCTAAAATTAAGTTGAAATTACTAGTCAATTAATGAAATTATATCCAGTTTGAGGTAGTGGAATTTGAACGATGTTATTGGACTAAATAATTAACAGATATTTTTTTAGTTGTTATTTTTATATTAATAGTCCACTGCAAAATTTAGGAAAAATGTTGTTTGAGAGCTTCCTAGCAACAACTTAATTAATGTCATTGGTTAATTCCATTTCAATTTTTTAACTACTATTATTGATGAAATTAATTATGATTAATTAACACTTGACTCCGCGTTAATTAGGGACCATGTGGATCCTATTCAATATTTTTATTTCATTAATATTTGACGGTGAGTGTTGAAACATCAAAGTCGGAGATTGTAGCATTAATTCTGAAAAATTTACTAATTTGCTACTAAATAATAACACTCATCTTCAAGACAAATATATATATGATAAACGTTTTTTTTTTTAATAATGGATTCAAGCATATGAAAATTATCTTTGTATTGTTGATTATCAAGACTATTGTGGGATTAGTCTAAATTTTTGTGTATATAAACAAAAAATTATTGCCACTGAGTTAGAAGCGGATTGATAGGATTAGTTTAAGTCGAGTTCAGATTAGGGAAAATGTTGTTTGAGAGCTTGGTAGCAACAACTTAATTAATTTCATTGGTCAATTCCATTTGACTTTTGTAACTACTATTATTGATGAAATTAATTATGATTAATTAACACTTGACTCCGCGTTAATTAGGAACCATGTGGATCCTATTCAATATTTTGATTTCATTAATATTTGACGGTGAGTGTTGAACTATCAAAGTCGGAGATTGTAGCATTAATTCTGAAAATTTTACTAATTTACTACTAAATAATAACTCCCATCTTCAAGACAAATATCTATGTGATAAACGTTTTATATATATATATATATATAATGGATTCAAGCATATGAAAATTATTTTTCTATTGTTGATCATCAAGACTGTTATGAGATTAGCCTAAGTTTTTGTATATATAAACAAAAGATCACTACTAATGAGTTGGAAGCTTATCGATGGAATTAATCTAAATGGAGTTCAGATTTGGGAGAAAAAAATATTTATCGGGGATTCAATGAGCCGGAGATGGGCACGACTTTTATTTTTGGGAAATGATATATTTATCCCTCAACTATAACCTATTTCTCAGTTGGGTATCGAAACGAAAACAATTTTAATTAGGTCCCCATCAACTGGGCATTACCCAATCGTGCCAAAAAAAATCCTTATCTTAAAACAATTTTCCTTTAAAAAATAAAACAAAAGACCAATTTTCCTTAGCGTAATACTTATTTTGGTCATAAATTTTAATTGTGGGGGTTAATGGGAGATCCAATTGGGAATTGTTTTTGCTGGGAGACCTAGTTGAAAATGACGTAATGGTTGAGGGACAGATGTGTCCTTTCTCTTTATTTATTTAATCAATGTAACTGGTTTTTAAGGATTTCGGAAGAAGATATCGTTGGTCTCATTTTTTGTCCGATGTGCATTGTTTCCTCAACAGACCAACTGTTTTAAAAGTAGAGAGGTTCCAAATTGCAAGCTATTACTAGTATTCTAGCTATTTCTGAAATTAGTTGGCATTTCTCCTTATCTTTTAATGCATCAAAAAGTTGTTTGGTTTCCTGTAAAAGAAATTTGTTTGACTTTGTGTTCATGGAATATTTGCACGAATTATATCGGAAGTTTCCAAAAAATCATTTAAAATAGCTCTCAGTTTCTTTCGGGCTTGGATATCTATGTATATTGCCCACGATGCCCACAAAGACTAGGAATCGAGTAAGGCTCCAGTAAATTGCTTGGCGGAGAACGTTGAAAGTAGCACACATAGGAAAAGTAGCAATATTTGATTAGTTTCAAACACTGCACACTCAAAATTTGCAATTTCTTTAGATTTCTAGATTTTGCATAGAAAATGTGCAATTTGTTGCTAAATATTAATGATTACATTAGTAGGTTGATTTGTTCAAAGCGGGCGAATTTAGAAATTAACATACACCAATAACAGTAGTGAAATTAAATTTCTCAACTCAGTAAAAACCGTATCCTACATTACATCTTGCCTTGCGTAACAAAAAAAAAAAAGGGAAGAATTAACGCAAAAATGCAAGTCCTGGATTTATAGAATTATTTTCATCAAATAAGTAGTAAAATATGACAAGATCGAAACAAAATCTGCAAGTAATAGAGAACTAGCAGGCCAGCTAAGAGGTAATTGGAAGCTTTGAAATTTTTCTAATATCTTTCATCTTTTGACTTTTAAGTTCTAAGAGCTCCCTAGATTGTCTCCACTTGGAACGCTTTGCATATTTGCAGGGAATGAGCCTTCCTGTTTCAATATGAACCGGCATACCCAGTCGTGTACAAGTAGCTAAGCCAAGCCAAGCCAATTAGCAGGCAACAACAGCAGCTAGCTAGGAAAGCTAATTAATTAGCCGAGAACAAATAAATTGAAATTGATCAGAAAGCAACAGGTTTTCTTCTGTTTATAAATGATAAGGGGAACTATTCAAAGGCATTGAGCTAAGACCACATTATGTGGTTAATTAAATTAAGCGGCTAAAAACTGATACATTAGAATCTTGAAATTATTCTCAAATAGTTAGGTAGTCGTAAGCAGATAAAAAGGACCTGATTTATTTTATTTTATTTTTTTCAATTGCTAAACTAGATGGGTCCCTCCACCAGCATATGATATAGAATGAAAGCTCCTTTTACCGTTTCCTTTTTCACATTAATTTTCAAACAGGTAGATATACTGGCCAGCTAAGAAAACAGCACAGCACAAATACATAAATCAAATATATATATACATATATATATAATATTGAATTCTCTATTCAGCCGTGGCTTCCTCAGGACTTCAAACAAGGCTTGCTTGCTGCCTACGGATCTTATTAGAAAGCAATATTTTGCTCAACACGCCCCTCTATTTAAGCCCTCTTTGAGGCCTTTGCTCTACTTTCTTAACTGCTCTCTTTCTCTTCAAAATTCTTTTCAGAAAAAAAAAAAAAAAACAATAGAAACCTTCCTCCCTCTTGCTAGCTTTTCTTTCTTCTTGTAGCTTGTGTGTGCATATATATATATATATATCTATATATCTTGCAGGTTGTTGAGAGTTTTAAGTTGTGGTGCGTTATTAATATGGAAGAAGCTATTGTGTTTAACAAAGGAGATGATCTAATTGATTTGCCACCGGGTTTTCGGTTCCACCCAACAGATGAAGAGATCATAACTTGTTATCTTACAGAGAAGGTGATGAATAGTAGTTTCTGTGCAACTGCTATTGGTGAAGTTGATCTCAATAAGTGTGAACCATGGGATTTGCCAAGTAAGGACTTTTCATCTTTTTATTTTTTTCTTTCGGTTCAACATTAAGATAGCCCTTTTCATAATTTTCTTTGCTTTGATTGTTCGTTTTAATTATTTTGTTGCTGAATTTTTGGGACTTGTTGTTGAAACTAGTTGTGTATTCAATATTGAACAGAGAAAGCAAAGATGGGAGAGAAAGAATGGTATTTCTTCTGCCAAAGAGATAGAAAATATCCAACTGGTATGAGAACTAATCGTGCGACTGAATCTGGGTACTGGAAGGCTACAGGAAAAGATAAAGAAATTTACAAGGGAAAAAATTGCCTTGTTGGAATGAAGAAGACCCTTGTTTTCTACAAAGGGAGAGCTCCTAAAGGAGAGAAAAGCAATTGGGTCATGCATGAATATAGGCTTGAAGGCAAATTCTCCTACTACAGCCTCCCCAAAGCTGCAAGGGTATGCACCACATGCACAAAATAATTCCAGCATTTTTTTTCTTGTTCATTTCTTTTTCTTTTTTCTTTTTTTTTTCTTGATTCTGATTAAAGAAAGCTTAATGTTGTTACTTATTGTAACATCTGTTAAATGTTTTTCATTTCTTTGCTTTTGATTTGGTGAAGAGTTTCTTTCATGGTTTTTTTTTTTTTTTTTTTGCTTTCTCTATTTGCTTTTGCTTTCGTGCGTGTGAATGAAAAAATCTGCACTAAGCATGACTTTTTTGTTTTTTTTGGCTATGTTGTCGTACAGGATGAATGGGTTGTTTGTAGGATTTTCCACAAGAGCACAGGCATCAAGAAAAGTCCAATTCATGATCTCCTAAGAATGAACTCTTTTGGAGATGATTTCTTAGATTACTCCTCACTGCCACCTCTCATGGATCCCCCAAATTACAATAGCAGGCCTAGCACCAGCAGCTTCAGCGATGCCGATAACGATGAGTTCAAGGCAATGACGACGTCAAGATCCTCAGATGGAAATTACTTCTCCAATACAAGCATGCTCAGCAACAATCAAAACTTTGCTCAACCTCCAAATACCAACTACCAAACACCGAACTCCACTTTTCAACCTCAAATTCCAGCTTCAAACCCTCTTTACTCCTTTCAAACCAATCCCAACAGGTCTGCCTACTTGCACCAAGGAAAGAGTACTAATTCATTTACAAACTTTCAAAACTCTACCTTTGGTAACAATGGCCAAACCCTTTTGACAGCATTAGCTGCAGAAAATAATTATAGAGAAGCATCTGAATTGGAAAAGCAGTGCAAGGTTGAGCAGTTCTCATCCAACCAATCAATGGTCAGTCTTTCACAGGACACTGGACTTAGCACAGACGTGAACGCCACAACTGAGATATCGTCTGTCGTTTCGAAGCAAGAAGTAGGAAGCCATAACAAGGTTTACGAAGATCTTGAAGGTCCATCAGCTGGCCCCATTGCAGATTTGGATTACTTGTGGGATTATTGAAGATTATAGAGAATATATATGTACGCGTGGTTAAATTTGTTCTATAAATTCTTAGGATATATAAATGTAACCAAAAAAAAAAAAACTCTTAGGATATATAATTTGAAACAGTCTTTTCTCCACTAGCTAGGTAATTTGATTAGAGTTTGAAAAGTTCTTTGGTTGATATAAATACTTTGTATAGAGATCAGTACCTTTTTCAGATTTATTTCATTTTTATTTGATTGATAGATACCAAAGGAAGGATGCGATGAATATTTATAAAGGCTTCATGTACGTCTATTCTTTATGTTAGTGCATTTATATTCTTTTGGGTTTTATACAATTTTCTGTTTCACATATATTTTCTTCAATTTTATTGAATTAGATTTGATATATTCAATGATTTTATATTCTATTATGTGTTGAATTTGATTATCTTTTCGTTAAAAAATCTTTTTTTTATCAACAAATTATTAGTTTAGTGATAAACGAATTAGTTTCGGACGAATTTTTTATCATTATATAAAATTTAAATTTTGAAATTATATTTATAAAAAAAGTTAAATTTTATAACTCTTGTTTTGAATATATTTAATTATATGTAGAATGATGATACATGGGGAAAAAAAAATTTTACCCATAATTTTGTATGTGTTTTGTCTGTTGAGATGCAAATTAATGAAATGAGTAAATAACATAAAAATGCAATGAATTTTAATATTTCATGTCATGCATCATTGTCAATGAATTGTAACTCAACTGGTATTTCGAATAATGTATCAATATCATACTAGCTAGTTAGTACAATTAACAAACTACTTAAAGCCTTAAATGAATGTTAATATACTAACACTTATAATTTATTTCTTTTAGGAGAGATGCGTGGCTAGTTCCAACTAGCTAGTGGATGCTTTTATTTTCCAACCTTGGTTTAAGGGATTTGAACTTGACAATAGGATCGTGATGTTTTTTTTTCCTTTTTTAATATGTTCTAGAAACTGACACTTGCTAGCTAGGACGACGATGTTTGATTTCTCCTAGATATATGCCCCTTGTCGTTAAAAATGTGCAGCTATCTGCAAGAAATTAAATATATATAGTCATTTCCTCCTCTATTAATTAATCATGGATAGATATAGAACGAATGTAGCGAGGGGAGGGATTCTAATCGCAGTATATAAAATAACACTAATTTGAAATCGACAGGTGGATGTACACTTGAATCAGCAACCTCATATTCAGATTAAAAGCTTCAAGAATCACGTGAATCATTCCCTGAATCTACGCATTATAAAGATTTTTTATTTTTTATTTTAATGAAAAACATGATGACATTAACAACCTTAGGTTAATTGGTATATGAAGATATATATATATATATATATATATATGCGCTAAAGATGTAATATTAATTGAGGTCATCTTTTACAAATCAAGCACTATCAAGATTTAATTGGATATATAAAAGCAAACAGAACTGTAACAGATTCTTTGTTATCTGTAGTGCTCATCTTTTTTCAAATACTACTATCTTTTGGACAGAAACGTTTTTCAATCACGTTACATAAAGTGGGGCAGCTAGGTCCCTTGAATTTAATCCTCTTTTTAATGAAGTTGTTTTGAAAAAGGATATAACAGAAAACAGAAACACGTGAGGATGTAAGAGAGAGAATTAGAGAGAGAGAGGGAAAGGGAAGAGTGGAATCGGTTATTGTAAGAGAAGAAAGGTAAGCTAGAACAAGCTAGGCAGGATCATCTGAAAATATGCGCACCATTCAACTTGCTTTCTATTCAAAGCAAAGCTTTTGTTATAGGTCACAGACTTGGAGGAAAGTTAACCGCCCTTTTTGGGTGACTTGGTCCATATGTTTTTGTAGTAGTGAAAGGGAATCTAAATAGCAAGTAGTATTTTATTTCAAGTCATTAGTATGTAAGGAACAAGCTACAGGTCAGAGAAGAGGATGAGAGAGCAAATTCTTCAATCAACAAGGAAAAAACCCTTATTTGTTGCATGAAAACATGGGGGATGGAGACTACTCAAAGTCACCAACCAATCATGATTCTACACCGCGTTTTCACACCAAAAAAAAAAACCTTGGTTTTCGCCTGAGAAAATGCACCTGCCTTTGATTTCTATCTTAATTTTTCCGTAATTAGCATAGCTTAGCTAATCTGATGACTGCCATTTATTTCATGTTTAATCCTTCTTATTTTAATTTTAGAACCTCACCGGCAGATGGAGCGACTGAAATAATTAATATTTGTACTTGGGCTGTATATGCATATGCTTTTGTTCTTGTATTGTCGGTTCATGTTTTTGCAAAGTTTCACATGCACGGAAATTTAATTTCAATGAATTAATTAATTAGTAGGATCATATGACCTAACAGTACTTAAGCTGCAGCTAGCTACCTAGCTAGCTACCAAGTACTATGTCTAATATTGTCTAATATAAATTTTATTTCTGACATCACAAACTCACACACGTAAACATGTTTGTTCTGATTAAGATGACCAAAACGGTAAGACTTGATCTCTTTCCCACTCCATCCAGTATCCTGCCCAAAGAAGGATAAATATGGTGAGAAAATTGTTAGTACTCAACTACAAAAAAATTGCTGCTTTTCAACGATCTCTATCGATATTGTCAATAACGGCGTATCTCTCCGAGTAGAATATTGTATGAACAAATTAACATAAACAATTCACTTTTTTTGGTGTATGTTTGCTTTTATGTTGTTTGAACTTAAAGACTCATTTTTACTAAACATATTTATAGCTTCGGTCGAAGAATCAAACGAATATGATTGCTTATTAGTTTTCATTTCCATATTCTAATTCATATGTATTGAGTCCTTGAATTAAAAATAAAAAATAAAAATTGGTGCAATTAAGTTTTAAGGAATATATAACCAAATTCTTACGATCAAGAATACACGATCAAATTCCTTTAGTTACTATATGTATATAATTCTAGATGGTTTTTTTTCAAAAAAAAAAAAAAAATTAGAGTCAAAGATGGTAAATAAAATTTATAAGCTCCTTAATTTTCCTAGCCAATGTAGAATGGAAATCATCATTTCCCCAATCAAGGGATTGAGAAGCTTTCTAAACTTTTGATTTTCCCAGTCAATATAGGAACTGAGCATTATGGTCTGGGTTTTCACAAGCAATGCTACTGATGATATTAGCTCATATTCACTGTATGGTTTACTCCCTCAAAAAATAATATATTGTCCTACCTTAGGCTCATAGCTTCATAATGGATTTTATCTCCAAACGAAGCCTCTTAGCTAGATACAAAGATAGTACCTAAAGTTTATAAGTTTTTTATACCCTAGACTCCTAATTAACATAGGATATTGATATCATCACTACTAGCTAGGTGCAGGGATTATCATCACTTGTAATTACATCCAAGTTCAAAGTTTTTAAGTTTCAAAATCAACCTAGCACTTTCATAAGAGAGAGTAATAATGCGAGAGGAGAATGTGGAGAATAGTGGGCATTTTGAAAGCAGGTATGTTTTGGATGATTCTTAGAATGAAGTCCATTGACGTAAACATCTTCTCCAAACCCCGGTGTAAACAGAAATGCATACAGCCATTTCCTTTGACATGTATAAATTATTGATCAGAAGGAGCCATCTTAGGGAATGATCGGAAATTTTACGTAACATTGACTTTTTGGACAACATTGACTTTTTGTACAACATTTAAACCTAATCTCTTATCAGCAGCTTGAAAATGAACATAGAGTTGTTACATGAAAGGTTAATTAAGTATATAGTTTAGGTGGATTTCATATGTCATCTGATCAGTGAAATTAAGCACTGCAATTTATTTATTTCTACTCACTTATTTTTGTTCTAGAATCTTGACATTTCACTAATTTTACCAGAATAACAAACAGGAGGAAATGAACCGACATTCCCAAGCCAGTTAATTTTCTACACGAATTGAGAAACTTTCAAGAAGTTTCCAACGTACGGGAAGCTCATCAACCTTTTTTTCTTTTTTCAATAATAAAGATATTTTTAGATCAATTTTTACATATTATAAAATTAATCTCTTTTTAAACATAGATAAAAAATACTTTTTAATATACGGTTTTAAATATTTTAATTTATCAACATTGTTAATCAGTGGCACTGACACCACATGAAGATTACTATTTTTTTTTAATTGATTTACATGTGGGTAACATTATTGTGTTGTGACATTTTGGGACGTAATTTTATTATATAATTGTGTCATAATCTTTATTAATTCAAGTTTTGTTGTTTCCTCCTAATAAGTTTACGGTGCTTGCAATAAAAAATATAAATGTCCATCAGAAGACTTTGATGGCCATTCCTAATCCTATATATATAGAACTCAAATAGTAAATGTATAATGACATGTACTCAACTTCTCTTGCATCTTTGAAATGGATATATGTATTGGAAAGCAAATTGAATATTGAAAAATCATGCTGAAAAAGTGTATGCATTGATCACGCATCACCTCCAACGCAAATAACAAAAAATTAATTAAATCTAATCCATCCAAGTCATCAAAAAATTGATATCTTAAGCTTGTAGAAAATCACTAATTAGTCTAAAGACATAAACCGATAGAAAAGGACCCTAGTAATTATTTCAACATCTAGTTTTCAAGTCATCGGGAAGTTAGAAAGGCAAATCTGATTTTGGATTTATCAATGTCATCACCTCCTTTTCATTAAAACCATCCTTTCACGATCATGTCCCATTTGAGAATTGACCAAAAATCAAAAGTAACTGTATCTTCGAAGTTGTATATAAATGCAAAAGAGGCAATATAAGCTGTGCCAATTTAATTTTAAGTACCATTACTTAATTACTGGCATTGTTCAGTGAGAAATTACCGTGTGAGCCTAGCTAGTTCATTGGTGAGCCGACTAATAAGCGTAGAACCTATATACAGGTCGTGAGAGATTCGTATGCCTATTACTATAGATCTATGATGGCCAAGAAAAAGAAAGAAAGAAGAAATTGA